TAGTTTTTTTGTATTTTTTTAGTAGAGACAGGGTTTCACCTTGTTAGCCAGGATGGTCTCGATCTCCTGACCTCGTGATCCACCTCAGCCTCTACCATTTTAGAAATCCTCAAATATGAATGCATTTGCTCCCCAGTAAATCTGAGGCAGATTAAGATCCTGTTAATACTTTTGTCTCTCTTGAAAGCAACCTAAGTGTGGAAATTCCTTTAACCACCTGCTGTCTTGTTCTCACACAGTGTCCCTTATCTGAATATACTTGGGACCAGAAGTGTTCAGGATTTTGTATTTGTTTAGATTTCAGAATATTTGCATCATACTTACCAGTTCACCATCCCTAATCCAAAAGTCCAAATTCCAAAAAACTCCACTAAGCATTTTCTTTGTGCATCATGTTGACACCCAAAAGGTTTTGGATTTTGGAACACTTTGGATTTCAGATTAGGGATACTCAACTTGAATATTTTCACATGTGGCCAGTTCTCAAGAACCTTTTTTTTCCCATGAGCTAAACATAGATAACATTAAGGAAAATGACATCTATTTAACTAAATTCTAATTACAGTGAGCAAAAACTTGTCATGCAAATTAAGTCCAAAGAAATAGACTGTGCTCTTTGGTAACATTACCTCCTCTTCTCATTACGTGTTAAAAACTAAAAAGCAGGAAGGAAACAAAAAGGAGGGGAGGACAAGTATTATGGTTATAAAGAAATGATCTTACATATTAGAAACAATTTAGACAGTTTAGAATTTGAATTCAGATGTGATTAAATAATCTGACATTTAAAATCAGCTTCAAATGGCCCACAAAAGCCTTACTTGTAAAAAAAAAAGTTATCCTGAATCATTTTCTCATATAAATTTATAGGTAGCAAGGTTATATAAATTGGTCAAAAGTGTGTTTAGTTTCCAGTGTTTTCCCATTAAAGCTAAAATCGCCTCTCAAAACAAAGTCAGCTGCCTCTAATTCAGACTTTCTTACCCTTTCAAGTATGACTTTCAAGTTGTGAGTTTTTAAAAAATATCACAGTTACCATCAAAACTTAAGACACAAGTAGGCCAGGTGCGGTGGCTCACGCCTGTAAATCCCAGCACTTTGGAAGGCCAAGGCGGGCAGATTATTTGAGGCCAGGAGTTCAAGATCAGCCTGGCCAACATAGTGAAACCCTGTCTCTACTAAAAATACCAGAAAAAATTAGCTGGGCATGGTAGCACAAGCCTGTAAATCCAGCTACTTGGGAGGCGAAGGCGTAAGAATTGCTTGAACCTGTGAGGCAGAGGTTGCAGTGAGCCGAGAGAGCACCACTGCACTCCAGCCTGGGTGACAGAGTGGGACTCTCAGGAAAAAAAAAAAAAAAAAAAGACACAAGTAGTACCATATGGCAGACTTTAAAATACAGAGGTATAGGCTGGGCACGGTGGCTTGTGCCTGTAATCCCAGCACTTTGGGAGGCTGAAGATTACTTGAGGCCAGGAGTTCGAGGCCAGCTGGCCAACATAGTGAAACCCCGTCTCTACTAAAAATACCAAAAAAAAAAAAAAAAAAAAAGTTAGCTGGACATGGTAGCACAAGCCTGTAGCCCCAGCTACTCTGGAGGCTGTGGTGGGAGGATCACCTGAGCCCAGGAGGCCAACGCTGCAGTGAACCATGATCGCACTACTGTACTCCAGCCTGGGTGACAGAGTGAGACCCTGTTTCAAAAATAAAATATAGAGGTGTAGACTTGTTCCTGAAGTGCCACTTTTGGTGGTTAGTGTCATGGGTGAGCAGCGACTATCTGGGGCTGATGGTGTGGGGGTAAGAAGAAATTTACCAAGATGATTGTAGGTAGAGAAAGGTAGATTAGAGAAGGTATGAAGATGCACTGCAAGGCTGGAACAGGCAGAGATGGGGCTTGTCTGCAAAGAGACAAAGGCTTGCTGGGGATTTTATAGGATGGTGCTATGTGCTGAAGAGGGTTTTATGTACTACTGAGAATGCCAAGGTTGCAGTGAGCTAACTTGAAGGTGTCTGGTGATAAGTTGGGTGCAGTACGGCTGCATGTCCTGGACCATGAAGAAAGGCAGACTCATAATTTATCTGCTTCTCCCTGTTCCTAGCAGCCTGACTCCCTTTCCCTAATTAGGACTCCACAGTTAGTGTTTTGAAGAAGACAAACAGGTTGGGCGACGTGGCTCACGCCTATAATCACAGCTCTTTGGGAGGCTGAGGTAGGCAGATCACCTGAGGTCAGGCGTTCGAGACCAGCCTGACCAACGTGGTGAAACCCCGACTCTACTAAAAATACAAAATTAGCTGGGCATGGTGGCACATGCCTACAATCCCAGCTACTTGGAAGACTGAGGCAGGAGAATTGCTTGAACCTGGGAAGCAGATGTTAGAGAGCGAAAAGCACACCATTGCGCTCTATCCCGGGCACAAAAAGCAAAAACAAAACACCGCCTAAAAAAAAAAAAAAAAAAAAAGACAAAACAGTTTCAAATACTTGTAAGTAAGTGATCTGCAAAAGTGTTCCCATAAACAATAAAACAAAGCCACACAAACATGCGTGAGAAAACGTTTTTTAGCGCGTGCACGCGCACACACACACTCACACACTTGGTGAAAAGTGTCTTTAATCACCTATCAGTCCATTCCCACAATGCTATAAAGAAATACCTGTAACTGGGTAATTTTTAAAGAAAAGAGGCTTAACTGGCTCATGGTTCTGTAGGCTGTACAGATAGAATAGTGGCATTTGCTTCTGGGGAAGCCTCGGAAAATGTATAATCATGGCAGAAGATGAAGGAGAAGAGGGACGTTTTATATGGCCAGAGCAGGATGAAGAAAAGGAGGGAGGGAGGTGCCACACACTTTTAAACAACCAGATTTCACGAGAACTCACTATCAGAAGAACAGCACCGAGGGGATGGTGCTAACCCATTCATGGGAACTTCGCCCCCCTCCCCCGACGAATCACCTCCCACCAAGCCCCACCACCAACACTGGGGATTACAATTTGACATGAGATTTGGTGGGGACACAGATTCAAACCATACCAATTATTGTTAAGGCTACTATGTATATTATAACTGTTCCTATTGCATTTATTTATAAGATTTTTTACCCTAGAAATGATCAGCTCTTTGAGCATAAAAAGGATTCTCATTAGAAGAAAACATTTTTGAATGCTCTAACTGCTACAGATATGTATGAATTTTTAGTTTTTAAGGTGATTCTGCCTGATATTTGATCATTCCTTTTGTTAAACAGTTCAACAAGCAGCATGTTAGACATCTGAACTTACCTTTGGAAATCTAATGTGCAGACTCATGGGATAGTCAGTCCTACAGTTCCAAGGACTCATATCAGTATTGCTGGACCCAAAGAATTTGCCAAAAGATATCCATCTTTTTCCTGTTTATAAAAGCAATGACAGCATCTCCTCAAGATTCTAGAACTAGACAAAAGTTTCAAGGACTGTATGTATGTCCTTCCTAAACAAAAATTAGTCAAACTCTGGCCTTTACCACTAAACTTCAAACAAGAGGTTGCACCTATGTGGCCACACTTAGTACAGTAAAAGGTTAATAGAAACTACTAGTAAACTTTCTGAACAATCAAATTGTACCAATGAAAAAGAATGAAAAAAACACCATTTTTGTTAGTATATTGACCTTGGTCAATAATTATGAATTTATTTGATATTATAACCCAGTATTGGCCTATAGTTAATAAATAAATGTTGAGTTCAATTTTATTAAACCATAGTCATCATGTTCATAAATTCTGCCTTTTTTTTTTTAACATGGTAGTTCTTTGACTATGACAATGAGCAAGAGAACTTATATTTTACTTAATAAAAATTTCAGCCAGGCACGAAAGGCAAGCAGATCGCCTGAGGTCAGGAGTTCAAGACCAGCCTGGGCAGCATGGTGAAATCCTCTCTCTACTAAAAATACAAAAATTAGCCGGGCGTGGTGGCACACGCCTGCAATCCCAGCCACTCGGGGAGGCTGAAGCAGGAGAATTACTTGAGCTTGGGAGCCAAGATTGTGCCACTGCACTCCAGCCCAGACAACAGAATGAGACTCCATCTCAAAAACAATCAAAACAAAAGAAAATACAAATTTTCAGAAGTCTTTTTGTTTTGAGACATGATCACAGCATAATCCTCCCACCTCAGCCTCTCAAGTAGCTGGGACCACAGGCATAAACCGCCATCCACCATGCCCAGTTAATTTTTAAAATTTGATGTAGACACAGGATCTCCCTGTATCGTCCAGGCTGGTCTTGAACTCCTGGGCTCAAGCAGTCCTCCCACGTCAGCCTCCCAAAGTGCTGGGATTAGCCACCATGTGCAGCCCTTCTTCATTTTTCTTTTTTTGAGATAGGGTCTCACTTTGTCACCCAGGCTGGAATGCAGTGGTGTGATCTTGGCTGAATGCAACCTCTGTCTCCTGCACTCAAGCAATCTTCCCACCTCAGCCTACTGAGATGGGAGCACAGGTGTATGCCACCACGCCTGGCTAATTTTTGTACTTTTAATAGAGCCATGTTGCCCAGGCTAGTCTAGAGCTCCTGGCCTCAAATGATCTGCCTGCCTCAGCCTCCCAAAGTGCTGAGATTACAGGCGTGAGCCACCTCGCCCGGCCCTTCTTGTTTTAAGCTAACTTTTAAGTCAAGAAAAGTGACACTCCATCGAACCAGGCCTATAGCTTAGTTCTGGTTCTTAAGTTCGGTAGGTAATAAATGTAAGTCAGGTGTGACAGAAACCCACATGAGGGACAGTTTTAAGTAGAATTATATCTATTTAGACTTAACACATATTTTGTAGAACTCTGGCTATTTCTGAAAGTACCAGTGAACATTTGATAGTTTAATAAACAGAGCTTACCTGGGCTTAAAGGTTATCCCCTTCCCCAGCCCTTGAAGTTGCTTTGAATACTATGACTAAAAAGACTTTCCATTAAAATAATTATATAATGCAAAATCCAATATAGATACACACTTGCAAATATCATTGTAGTTATTTATTTAGATTGTTTACAAATGAGACAGTGCCTTTAAATATGACTTCATAGACCATTATCCATTACCATTCATTCATCCACTCATTGGTTCATTGATGGATTCATTTAGTTCAAATAATATAGAGCTGCAGATGGGGAGAAATCACTGGGGTGGAGGTGGATGTCAGGAAGTAAGCAAACGTAAGACTGCAGCTCTAGTACAGAAGAGATGATGAATGTAAACAAGTGTTGGGAGAGGACAGGAAGAAAACCTTCCCTACAGGCCTGTAAAATGTGGTTGACAGAAGGGAGGTTGGGCACTAACAGTGGAATGTACCACCACAGCAGATGTGCGTCTACAGGTACGGGGTTACATGTTCGCCTTTGTAGTTAAAAAAGAAAGGTATAGTCCTTTTCCATGTACAAAGCGTTCTAACGTTCATTACCAAATGTAATCCTCACAGCAACAGTGTGAATTAGGAGTGTTCCCAATTAACAATGAAAATACTGAGGCCTTGGGGAGAATGACTGGCTCAATGTTGTACAACCAGTAAGGCGGCGATAGAGGAAAAAAGACTAAAACCAGATATTTCTCTAATTCTTTGTGCACAATCCTGCCACCACAAAATGTTAGAATCGGAAGGGAGCTTAAAGACCAAGTCTAGTCTTTTCATTTTAAAGGAGTTGGGAATGGGCCCTGATTTGCCCCAGCTGGTACATAACAGAGTGGAGATTCGAGCCCTGGTTTCCTGACAGCTCCCAGTCTTTCCACTCTACCACCTGGCCTCAAAATGGAAAGAAACACAAATGTTCTACAAATACATCAGAGCTCGCCAAAAGGTTACCGGAAATCAAACAGCAAACACCTATTCTCTTTGAAATTCACCAGCAAAGTTGGTGGCAGCAACATTTCCTCTATTCCCAGGAATCTTAAGGCTTTGGAGAAATGAGAATAAGCACCTCCACAAAAACACAACTGCTGAATAATCCATTTAGAATCTTGGCCAGTATGTGCATACTATAGGCCTATTAAGTCAAACTTATTAATAGCTTTTCTTCACAGAGAAAAAAAATTCATATATATCTACCGACTGCATTTGATCAGTAAGATATCATGTTAGTGTGCTTCTTACCTGAAGTACATTTATGGCTGAGTCATATTGTGACATAAATAATCACATTTTGTAGCTTGCTTTAGACGGAATGAGATTTTTTTTTTCTTGAGACGGAGTCTCACTCTGTCACCCAGGCTGGAGTGCAATGGTGCAATCTCGGCTCATTGCAAGCTCCACCTCCAGGGTTCAAGTGATTCTCCTGCCTCAGCCTCCCGAGTAGCTGGGATTACAGGCACGTGCCACCACACCCGGCTAATTCTTGTATTTTTAATAGAGAACGGTTTTGCCATGTTGGTCAGGCTGGTTTCAAACTCCTGACCTCAGGTGATCCGCCCGCTTCAGCCTCCCAAAGTGCTGGGATTACAAGCGTGAGCCACCGTGCCCGGCCGGAATGAGATTTTTAAAAACACCAGGACTGAGAATCCATCCACCCAACCAAGAGCCAACAAAGTAGCAGTTACTGCTCTAAACATTCACTCATCCATGAGACTACTGAAGAAATCCAAGAGGCTTGGTGATACTGACCTCACTCTCAGTTCTATCTACAAGTAGTAAAGTACTACTGCCAAATACACTTAGCAATTTCAGGAAGAGACACTTGTCTCCACAACCTGTTACTGAATGCAGCATATAGAATCCATTCGATTCTGAAGGACAACACACTCCAAAGGATGTTTCGTTTTGGAAGGAGAGCTGTAGGGGACGGTAAAGGGGATGCTTAGCAATGCTTCCTGAGTGACTAAATGAACGAAGCGGATCTCCCTGGCCCTTAGTAATAATCCTATGAGATTCCAGGAAGAAAATTAGCTTACTTATCTTCATAGAGCAACAACAAAATGATTCAATATGAATATTGTGGTTCTGAAGTTTGCTTCCTTCATTCTTGACTTTTGCCAGTTGCAGAATTCCACCAGTGGACACTGAGGTAGTGGGGGGCCAAGAGAGTCTGTGAAGTCAGTTATTCATGCCTCAAGATTTCAAACTGTACAAATGGAACTCTGGCAATGTAAGAACTCAGGAGGGGAAAAATACCTTGCAAGAATCTACTCTTAAAAAGGAAGAGTTTTTGAGATTTAGGAAGAATGACTGCAGGAAGTGGTGATCAGTGCTGTGCAGCTGGGGGTAAGCTCCTCTCCCTCAGTCTTGGAGCGGGTCGAAAAGGCCCCCAACACTCTGAGGCTGAGGCTTCTCAGCCCAGGAACCCAGGATCATACAACTGCCAGGCACAGTGGCCACAGAGCAGCCTCCACCTCAAGAAAACAATTCCAGACATGACCTCATTGAATACACCATGGAAGATGTTATCTTCTTTAAAAGTACCCTCACGGCCAGGCGCGGTGGCTCACGCCTGTAAACCCAGCACTTTGGGAGGCCGAGGCGGGTGGATCACGAGGTCAGGAGATTGAGAACATCCTGACTAACACAGTGAAACTCCGTCTCTACTAAAAATACAAAAAAATCAGCCAGGCATGGTGGCAGGTGCCTGTGGTCCCAGCTACTCAGGAGGCTGAGGCAGGAGAATGGCGTGAACCCAGGAGGCGGAGGTTGCAGTGAGCCGAGATCGTGCCACTGCACTCCTGCCTGGCCGTGTTCAGGTGACAGAGCCAGACTCCATCTCAAAAAAAAAAAAAGTACCCTTACAAGGAAAAAGGCAGGCAACTGCCATCCCCCAGCCACGCATGCCCAGGAACTCTCAGGCAGGAACTTGGCTGTATTATCCTGCCTCAGAGACAAACTCATCTATTGTAGGCCTGGCCTGGATTGCTGCCTCTGAAAACCAGGAAAGGTCGGTAGAATATCAACCAAGACATGGAATTTCCAGGGAGGTCTCATTTCAAAATGTCATCAACAAGAACCACATGGACCTCTATGAGAGGGATGATTAAACTGGCCTGAGTTTGAATGAAAGGATAATGTGTGCCCAACCTGTAACTAACACAAAGGAGGTAAAGTGGCAGAGGGTCTTGTATGAGCAACAGCCATTTCCTGATAACTGTGTGGACCGGCGGTTCCTGGAAGAGCAGTTCCTGGAAGAGCTCCGGAAAAACATCCATGCTCGGAAAGACCAATATTGGGCTGTGGTATTTGAGTCCAGTGTGTTGATCCCGCAGCTGTGCAGTATTTGTGTGTTTCTGGTTATCTGGTGGTATATGGATGAGGGTCTTCTGGCCCCCCACTGGCTTGTTGGGACTGTCCTGGCTTCTTCACTGATCGGGTATATTTTGTTTGAGCTCACTGATGGAAGTGAAGGGCAGAAGAGTGGGTGGATCCGGTGGGCTGACCTGAAAAGTGCCCTAGTCTTCATTACTTTCACTTATGGCTTTTCACCAGTGCTAAGACCTTGCCAGAGTCTGTCAGCACTGACACCATCTAGGCCATGTTGCTCTTCATGCTGTTAGGCCACCTCATCTCTTTTAACTATGGTGCCAATGATGCCTTTGTATCCATTGTATCCAGTAACTATCCTTGAACACGGCCATCTTGGCTTCTGGAGGCTTGGCTTCACGCCTTCCCCAGTCCCTGCATGTCTCCATCATGGTAACACTTGCCATCCAGATTTTTGTCCTGTGGCTCATGTTACAGGAGAAACTAAAGGCATGGACTCCCAAGGGCTATGTAGTGGTTACACTGCTTTTTGCCTTTTTGGCCTTGGAAGAGCTGTGGGAGCCATATTCTTTGCCCTTCTGTTGATTTCTGTCTCATGTCTCTGTTCATTTTACCTCATTCACCTGCAGCTTTTTAAAGAAAACATTCACGGGCCTTGGGATGAAGCTGAAATCAAGGAAGACTTGTCCAGATTCCTCAGCTAAATTAAGGACATTCTGATAGACTAGCCTCTTAACTAGTATAAAACTTAAAGACAGGCCAAGTGCGGTGGCTCACGCCTGTAATCCCAACACTCTGGGAGGCCCGAGGCGGATGGATCACGAGGTCAAGAGTTTGAGACCAGCCTGGCCAACATGGTGAAACCCCGTCTCTACTAAGAATCCAAAAATTAGCCAGGCGTGGTGGTACGTGCCTGTAATCCCAACTACTTAGGAATCTGAGGTAGGAGAATCGCTTTAACCCGGGAGTCGGAGTTTGCAGTAAGCTGAGATCGCACCACTGCACTCCAGCCTGGGTGACAGAGCAAGACTCCATCTCGAAAACAAACAAACAAACAAACAAACTTGAAGATAGAGTTCCATTCTGGATGCAGCATGTCATTGTGGTAAGAGAACAGAGATTAAAACAAAACAACAACATGAACCAAAGGCTTGGGTGGTGAGGGTACTTATCCTTTCTGTAATTCTGTGGATGAAAAAGCTTTCTGGGGCCCTCTTGAATCATTTGCTGTAACAAATGAAGTGATATGGTTTCTATTTAAAAAAAAGCACACATTCAAACAAACAAAAAATAATAAATATGAATAAAAGTACCCTCACAAAATGTGGCCAGTCTGCCAGATTACAGAGACCCAGATTCTCCAGTCTTCTGCCTGGGACCCAAAAAGATACATCTGGCTCTACGTTTATTGTTGAGGAGAGACAGGGTCTGGCTCTGTCACCCAGGCTGGAGCACAGTGGCACGATCATAGTTCACTGCATCCTTGAACTCCTGGGTGCAAGCGATCCTTTTGCCTCAGCCTCAGCTTGTAGCTGGGAGTACAAATGTGTGCCACCATGCCAGGCTAATTTTTTTTTTTTTTGTAGAGATGTGATCTCACTATGTTGCCCAGGCTGGACTTGAAATCCTGGGTTCAGGTGATCCTCCTGCTGTGGCATCCCAAAGTACTGGGATTATAGCATAAGCCACCATGCCCAGCTCTGTTTTTTGTTTTGTTTTAATTTATCACATCATTATAGATTAGAACCAACATCAGCTCTGATCTGCATACATGTAATTTCTACCTGAGTTTCTACAGCCAGATCCAAGTCCTTGTATAAACCCTGGGACCATCAGCAATCTCAAAAATCCTGAAAGCAGAATGTATTCTGACTCTACTGGGTCTGATACCCTTCTCATGGAGTATCTGCTTTCCTCCCCATCAGTCCTACTGGAATACCTACCCAACTGCTTCTTCAAGTCTTCCTTGAAAACACAAAATCACTGCATTTCCTTACAAAGAAGGATCAGAGAAAACAGCTGCTTGCAGTAAAATGTAGTCCTTCCCCCTGGTTGTGTAGGAACGACTGCTAGCCTTCCTGGAGTCTTTCTGAAATGGCTTCCAAGTTTCTTTCCTTTTTTCTTTTTTTTTTTTTTAAGACAGAGTCTCACTCTGTTGCCCAGGCTGGAATGCAGTGGTGCGATATCAGCTCACTGTAGCCTCTGCCTCCCGGGTTCAAGCTATTCTCCTGCCTCAGCCTCCCAAGTAGCTGGGATTACAGGTGCGTGCCACCACACCCAGCTAATTTTTGTATTTTTAGTAGAGATGGGGCTTCACCATGTTGCCCAGGCTGGTCTCAAACTCCTGACCTCAGGTGATCTGCCTGCCTTGGCCTCCCAAAGTGCTGGGATTATAGGCATGAGCCACCACGCCCGGCCAGCTTCTAAGTTTCTCTTAGCTTCCTGTCCAGAAGGCTTTAGGTGCCAATATTACTTGCTTTTCTGGCAGTTGGAGGTCATTCCAGTTTCATGGCTCTGCTTCTAATATAATGTCCCTGTCTAAAATGCACACATGCACGTGTACACTTAAAAAAAAAAAAAAAAAACAGAACAGATCATCTATGCGACCCAAATCACTCACACTCAGAGGACATGTCAGGAATTCTGGTCACTGAAGTTCCTCGAAAAATAATGCTCAAACACCAGGGATTTTCTATGACTTCCTTATTTAGGAGATTCGTGAACTCAAGCTATTTTATCTGAAAACAGTTAAATCTAATTCCAGAATTTAATTCAGTCAACACATCTGCGTATTGTCTCAGAGTCAATTTTTCAGTAAGAATTCCAGACATTTCTCTTCCTTTACATTACAGTAAAGTATTTTTCAAAACATTTCCTCCTTGATTTTCAAGGCTTGAAAGTCAAATAATTTCCTTTCACTAGATCTCATAAGTCATAACTGCTCTCACCTAGATGCAGGAGTAATTTTGTATAAAAGAACAAGCTTTTTAAAGTCCAATAACTCTGTATCTTTGGGGGAAGGTTAAAAGAAAGAATGTTTAAATATTTTTTAAAAAAGTAAAAAAGAAAAAAGAGAGAGAGACAAATAACTCTCCTCTAGAAAAAAGGGCCTGGGAGCCCTGGCTAGGCCAGGCAGGGAGGAAGCAATAAATAGGGGGAGAAAATGGCAATAAGACGTTCTGTAGCCCTTCTAACAAAACTACCCGGAGGGAGGGGTGAGGGACAAGGCTGTCTGAGGGAGGGCAGGAGGTGAGGCCATGGCTTGGTCTCTTTTGCGCTTGGATGGCTGTCAGCTCGGCATGGGGCATCTGAAAGAACTACCCAGGTTGCAGAAGAGCCTCCTTAGAAGGACATGATGGGGGAGGAGTGGAGACACAGCCGAGTGTTACCCATAAAACTCGAGAACAAAAAGCTTCTTTGATTTGTAAACTTGCACTCATAAATACAATCTCTCAAAATAGAATTCACTGGAGTTTTCAACAAGTCTTTTCAACAGTGATACACAATATTCTTCCCTTTGGAATCGCTGCTGTTAAATAGACATGTACTATATAGCCATTTTCCAATGCAACATTAGAGTTGAGAACAGGTATTCTGCGGCTAGTGAGTAATACTGCTGCTGTAGGGTGCATACACGTTAGGATCGGACGAGGATCTTACTGAGGATTGCATCATAGTAGGGACAGAAGACCATCTTGTTATAGTTGACCAGGCGAGCAAATTTAATAGCAACTTCCTCCAGCTCTCTCTGAACTGGACTGAGTCCCCCAGGGACTGTGGGCAATGGCTTCTGATGACCCGAGGCAAGGTAGGTTTCTAAGAAGGTCAGGATTCGAGATTCTGTGACAAAAAAGAAAGTGGTCAGTTGTTTCTTGTCCTTCACTTTACAAACCCGACCGTGCCTCAGTTCTCAGCTTAACCATCACCTCCTTAGGGGAAGTTGTCCCCGATCAATACTCCTAGACCAGATACCCACAACACCTTGCACGTCTGCACATTCATCCCATTTATAATGTTTTCTCTCCACTCTAGATGGTTAGTTTCATGAAGGTAGGAGCCATGCTCATCTTGTTCACCATGTCTCCTCAGCACTCAGCACAGTGCCCAGCATGAGACCCAGCTCCCAGGAGAAACTCAAACACACTTGGAATGCAAGAATGAATCCATGAGTGGCCGGGTGCAGTGGCTCACGCCTGTAATGCCAGCACTTTGAGCACTTTGGGAGGTTGAGGTGGGTGGGCCACCTGAGGTCAAGAGTTCAAGACCAGCCTGGCCAATGTGGTGAAGCCCCGTTTCTACTAAAAATACAAAAATTAGCCAGGTGTGGTGGTGCGCACCTGTAGTCCCAGTTACTCGGGAGCCTGAGTCACGAGAATCACTTGAACCCAGGAGGTGGAGGTTGCAGTGAGCTGAGATCACGCCACTGCACTCCAGCCTGGTGACAGAGCAAGACAATCACATAAAAAGGTGGAAAAATCAAGCAGGAATTACGGGTTCAAAATAGACCTTTTTCCTACTAAGCCTCCATGAAAGCAGCTCATGCTTCCTTCTCTGATGCCGGCATGGAAGTCGTGGGCATTTGTAAACTTGTCTTACTTGGAAGAATAATTTATGTTGATGCTTTCTTTTCTAGTCCATTCCCCTTCACAATGCTTTTGCACCCTTGTGTATCCTCATGAAAAAAGATTTGATCCAGTCACACTTCTTGCAGATTTTATCACAAAAACAATGGAGACATTTATATGGAATTGACTTTTTCAAACTATATGCCTTGCCTCCTGCCTGGGGAATCCTCTCAGGTGCAAATAACTTATACCCTCCTGAGCCTCACAACACAGAAAGAAACTGCTGACAGGACAAGACAGGGCCTATCACCCTTATTATTATTATTTTTTCAAGACACGGTTTCACTCTGTCACCCAGGCTGCAGTGCAGTGACACAATCTCAGCTCACTGCAACCTCAGCCTCCCGAATTCAAGCGATTCTCCTCCCTCAGTCATCTGAGTAGCTGCGATTACAGGCGCATGCCACCATGCCCAGTTAATTTTTGTCTTACTAGTAGAGGTGGGGTTTCACCATGTTGCCCAGGCTGCTCTCGAACTCCTGACCTCAAGTGATCCGTCCGCCTCAGCCTCCCAAAGTGCTGGGATTACAGGCATGAGCTGCCGCACCCGGCCCTATCACTCTTCTTCTTCTTTCTTCTACTTTTTTTTTTTTTTTTTTTAAGATGGAGTTTCCCTCTTGTCTCCCAAGCTGGAGTGCAATGGCGCAATCTCGGCTCACTGCAACCTCTGCCTCCCGGGTTCAAGTGACTCTCCTGCTTCAGCCTTGCAAGTAGCTGGGACTACAGGCACATGCCACCATGCCCAGCAAAGTTTTGTATTTTTCGTAGAGATGGGGTTTCACCATGTTGGCCAGGCTGGTCTCGAACTCCTGACCTCAGGTAATCTGCCCGCCTTGGCCTCCCAAATGCTGGGATTACAGGCGTGAGTCATCACGCCTGGCCCTGTTCACCGTTATTCTTTCTTTTTTTTTTTTTTTTTGAGACAGAGTTTCGCTCTTGTTGCCCAGGCTGGAGCGCAATGGCACAATCTCGGCTCACCGCAACCTCCACCTCCCAGGTTCAAGCGATTCTCCTGCCTCAGCCTCGCAAGTAACTAGGATTACAGGCATGCACCACCATGCCCAGTTAATTTTGTATTTTTAGTAAAGGCGGAGATTTTCCCATGTTGGTCAGACTGGTCTGGAACTCCCAACTTCAGGTGATCTGCCCGGCTCGGCCTCCCAAAGTGCTGGGATTACAGGCATGAACCACCACGCTCAGCACCCTTATTCTTAAGTTAGTTTGGTTCTCTAAGGTTCCCAGAGCTGGCAGCCTCACCCACGTAGAAATCTTTGTATTGTTCCTATACCCAAAGACTGGTTTTTCTTTTCTTTCTTTCTTTCTGTTAGAAATAGGGTCTTTCTCTGTCACCCAGGCTAGAGTGCAGTGGTGAAATCATAGCTCACTGCAGCCTCAGTCTCCTGGGCTCAAGTGATCCTCCTGCCTCAGCCTCCCGAGTAGTAAGGACTACAGATGCATGTCACTATCCTGGCTAATTATATATATTTTTAAAAATTGTTTTGTAGAGATGGGGGTCTCACTATGCTGCCCAGGTAGTCTCGAACTCCTGGTTTTAAGTGATCCTCCCAGTAAGGGCTGGTTTTCAATCTGTTGATAACTGGCTGTTACAAAACAACCCAGGCAGCAGGATGAGAAGCAACTTGCTGGCCACAGGTTTACTTACAGGCACTTTCCTGCCTCCCTACCAAGGTTGTGAGTATAAATCTTGACTGGGTGCAGTGGTTCATGCCTGTTAACCCCAGCACTTTGGGAGGCTGAGGCAGGCGGATCACTTGAGTCCAGGAATTTGACACCAGCCTGACCAACATGGCAAAACCCCGTCTTTACAAAATATACAAAAAATTAGCCGGGTGTGGTGGTGCATGCTTGCAGTCCCAGCTACTTGGGAGTCTGACGTGAGAGGACTGCTTGAGCCTGGGAGGTGGAGTGTGGAGGTGCAGTGCAGTGAGCCGAGATCGTACCACTGCACTCCAGTCTGGAAGACAGAGTGAGACCTTGTCTCAAAAACAAACAAACAAAACTATGTATTTACAGTATACAGCATGATGTTTTAAATATATGTATATACTATGAAATGATTAAATCAAGCTAATTAACAGAATTTTTCATAAAGCCATTGCTGTGATAATAGCTAATATTACAGAATATTTTAAATGTTTTATAGAATATGCATTAAAATATTTTAATACTTCAAGTTTATTATAAATTTTAAACAGCAATATCTTAATATTACCATTTTAACAGTTTTATTACATTTGATGTGTTAATAGTATTATATACTAATATTTAATAATATTTTAATTGTGTTTTAAAATAACATCTTCATTTTACTATTCAGCTCTTTTCGTAACAGCTCCTATTTATTGAGCACTTACTATGTGCTGCCAGGCACTAAGGCAAGCACTTTACCTTTTCATCCCAGACAGTCCCTGCAGCAACCTTGTAAGGTTGTTGCTCTTATTCCAGCTTTAGAGATGAGGAAACTCCAGTGTCAAGTTACACGCCCAAGCTGCACAGCAAGCCCTGGGACACTGCTTGTGAACCCAGGAGAGCGATTCCAAGGTCGCAGCCCTTCGAACAATGATGGCTGCCTGGTCCTGTGCCCATCTGTTGGGTGGCCCTGGTCTCTCTGTGGTGCTTCATTACACCATCTTCTCACCCATCAGCACCTTAACCCCAACTAAGCCCTCAGGTTTCTTCAGAGGGGCCTGTCCTCCAGCCCCTCGGAGGGCATATCCCTGCTGCCTGCCTTCCCCAAACGTACCCATGATCCTGCGAATGGGGTCATCGGGGCTGGCCACGGCCTGGATCTGGCCCTTGAGCACGGTCTCCTTGTCCGAGGTGAAGGGGGAGGACCCACACAGGGAGAGGCAGCTGCTCACCTCCAGGCACACCTTCTCCCCGATGGTAGTGAGGACGTCCTTCAGATGGAAGGAGCTGGGGCAGAGGAGGGGAGAAAGGGCCTATAAGTAAAATACACCTCTAACCGGCTCCAACCGCCCACAACTGGGTGAGAAAGACAGCACCAATAACTGGATTTATGTGTTCAATGGACAATTTGTGACTCTTTTCCCTGCCACCTTACCTCTCAGGCTGTGCATACCTGACCAGGGGGACTTCCTTCTCTCCCTCTGCTAGAAAAGACAGTGGGAAGGGCAGGGGCTCTCAGAGTATACCAGGACCAACGACCCAAGGCACAACTTCCTGCTAGCCTCTCTGTGATAAAAATCAGCCTGGAATGACCTCAGAATATCTCGATATACCTCTGGAGGAATACACAAGAAAGCAAGCATTTGGTAGCTGTGGGACAAGAGGGAGAGAGAAACTTTTCATTGGATGTCCTTTTGTACCTTTTGATTTTTGAAACATGCACACATATTAACTACTTTTAAAAGAATAAAGAGTCTGGGCTCGGTGGCTCACGCCTATAATCCCAGAACTCTGGAAAGCCAAGGCAGATGGATCAGGAGTTCGAGGTCAGGGGTTCAAGACCAGCCTGGCCAACATGGTGAAATCCCATGTCTACTAAAAATACAAAAAGATTAGCTGGGCATGGTGGCAGGTGCCTGTAATCCCAGCTACTCTGGAGACTGTGGTAGGAGAATCACTTGAACCCAGGAGGTGGAGGTTGCAGTGAGCCGAGATCACGTCATTGCACTCCAGCCTCGGCAACAAGAGTGAAACTCCATCTCAAAAAAAAAATATTTTTTTTAATTAAAAAATTAAAAAAAAATAAAAGAATAAAGAAAAGTCAAATCCTAAAGTTAAAAAAAAAAGAGTATCTGGATTCCCTGGGTCCCCCAGGTTCTCCCAGGGTGCCTGCGGGGAGCCCCCCTGCTGGCAGGCATGCTGTGAGAAGGTAACTGCCTCTGTTCTGGGTCTAGATCCTTTGTATGTAGAATTACTGGGGGGCGTGGGATCAAGCCCCAGCACTCACCATTGGCACCAGTTCTGTGCCCACCCCTGGAGGGCCAGGGTGGATATGGGAGTGCAAGTCTGGGCTCCCAAGAAAGCCCTGACCTGGGTCCCTCCCTCAGCAGGAGCTTTGACAGAGTAGTTCTCCAGGCAGGGACCTAGGTGACAGCCCAGAGCTGCGCCTGTGCAAAGGCCTCAGGCTAGGCCCACAGCCGAGCAAACAGTTTCCTGGCCTCTCAGCAAACTAGTTTGACTGTCAAAACTGTTGAACCCCTAGTCACAACATGTGGACATGCCCCACACTGCACTGAACACATCCATGCTTTGTGCTAATTCAGCAGTAAAATTTCTGCATTTTGTAAGGATGAGAATGTTTAGGGGGTACTTCCCTTGAAGAAGTCTCTGAATTGGACCTTGTCAGATAGAGCATTACTTAGAACCACTCAAAGATATTCTATAGGCTGGAAACCACAGAAGTCACCCAACATGACCCCATGGTAGGAGCGGTCATGAAGCCTGCACGCGTGCAGATGTGGACTCATGCTGGGTAAGAAAATGATGCATTACACTGAGCACAGAACGCCTGTGGGGAACACGCAAGTGCAGAACACTTCAACCACATACATGCAGCTCTGCAGGAATACAGCTGGTTTCCCTCATGACCGTCCCATAGAGTTCTACTTTTCACTGTTAGTTGGTTATGAAAGCAATTCAGTGGGTAGCAACCAATATTTTTTTTAATGGAATAAGAATAGAGTAGAAAATATCAGGCTGCATTAAACACGGTTAGGGTCAGTTCCATTTTGAAGAGGTTTTTGTTTCTGTTACATGTGTGTTAAGTGTGTACTAGGTCACAACGGAAAATGAATTTCTTACTGCGGGTCCTAGTCACAAACATTTTTGTCCCAATTAATGTCTCTGGGTTTCAGTTTCCTCATAAGCTCCAGTAGGAGTTTAATACATTTGAATGGCTTTGGGAGAGGAATAAAGCACTCAACAAACATCAAACACAAGAACCTTGGAGGTCAGGAGACAAAGACAACCCCATTAAAGAAGGAAGGGGTCAGACAGCATTCTGTTCCCTGCGTAGGGAGAATAAATGAGTTGATGGCACTCAGCACCGGGCCAGGCCCCGGGAGGAGCACGCTAACAGGCAATGGAGGTCCACAGGACCCCTAAGCCCCGGATGTCCGACTCCTCAAGGCAAGCAACCATTGATATCAGCACTCCCCACCCTGCCCATGGCCTACCCCCTTGCCCGAGCCACTTCTTCTCTCACCCCCTAAATGCTCCCTCACATCTACTATGCGCCCCATGCCAAAGTTTAAACTTAAGAGCATAAATCTAATTACGTTCCCCCTCTTGCTTCAAACCCTTCAATGGCTCCCTACAGCTCTTAGGGCAATAACCCAACTCCTCAGTGTGGCCTCTAAGGCCCTATAGGCTACTCGGTTAGTCACACACATTTTAAAGCCACTACCCTAGAGCTTTGCTAACCCTGCAGCAGATTCTAACTTTGACCCTATGACCCTGAATAAACTCTGCTGGGGTCTTCGCCAAGTGAACCAACTGAGACAGCAAGGTTTCTTCTCAGTTCCTAGAGAGTGGCCCTGGGGTCTGCCTTACAGTGGGAGACCCCTCTGGGAGACTCTAGTCGGCTTTCTGCCATCCACTGCCTCCCATCCATGCATGAAAGTTCCACTTACGGTAGGTGCATATCTGTTAGCAAAATCTTCACAATCATCTTGAGTTTCTCAGCAAAGTCGGCCTGGCTGGAAATTCCTGGGGCTGCCATGCTGAAGGTGATCAGCAACACAGCCCCCAGGACGGTCAGTTGTTCCAGCTGCAACTGGAGCTCGTGGAAGCGAGACTGGTCCATTAAAACTGTCTGTAATGAACAGAAGAGGCCATCGCTGAGCTGCAGGTCCAGGCTAGCAAGCAGAGGGCAGGAGCGCCACAGTCCCCACACCTGCCTCTGCAGCTTCCCTCAGGGTTTGCGCTGGTGTGTTAGAGCTTTGAGGGAGTCTGGTGTGAAATAACCCCTCCATCTCAGAGTCATTCCTCCTGAGCAAGGACGCAGTATAGCATCCTCACTAAGAACACGGACAGGCCTGGGTGTAAAGCCAGGCTCCATGCTTAATAGCATGACCTCCCTGGCTGGCCACGGTGGCTCACGCCTGTAATCCCAGCACTTTGGGAGGACTAGGTGGGCAGATCACCTGAGGTCAGGAGTTCAACACCAGCCTGACCAACATAGTGAAACCCCATCTATACTAAAAATACAAAACTAGCCGAGTGTGGTGGCGCATGTCCGTAATCTCAGCTACTCGAGAGGATGAAGCAGGAGAATCTCTTGAACCCAGAAAGCAGAGGTTGCAGAGAGCTGAGATTGCACCACTGTACTTTAGACTGGGCAACAAAAGTGAAACTCCATCTCAAAAAAAAAAAAAAAAAAAAAAATCATGACCTCATGCAAGCATCGCCAATTTTGTCAGGCCTCTGCAGAATGGGAACTCCCAAATCACAGGGCTGTTTTAAAGCTGAAGAAAGATGCTACATATAAAGTGGCTGGCAGAGCCAGCGCTCGATAAATAAAAGTGATACCTATTGTTGGGAAGAAAAGTATAATGAGGTACAGACCTAGGGTCACCAACTCCTCCCAGTTTGTCTGGGACTGTCCCAGTTTTCAAATGGAAATTCCCAAGTCCTGTAAACCCCCACTTGGTCCCTAGCAAACTAGGACAGCCAGTCATCCTGTACAGAGCAATGGAAGGCCAGGTGCGGTGGTGGGTGCCTACAGTCCCAACTACTGGGAGGCTCAGGCAGGAGGATCGCTGAGGCCAGAAGTTCGACGCTGCAGTGCACTATGATTATGCCTGTGAATAGCCACTACACTGCAGCTTGGACAACAGAGTGAGACTCCATCTCAAAACAACAACAAAAATCCCAGAGCAATGGAAGGGAGGAGTGTCTTGCGGGCAGAGCCTACACTTACTCACCTTGGTACCCACTCAGCACCCAGCACAAAGGAAGCTTGTAAAAACTGGCAAATAAATAGAGAGGAAGAGAAAAAAACAGGAAGCACAGAGAGTAGAAGTGACAGAGAACAACCTAAAGCCTCCCGGAAAGCAAGCGCGTTCCCACGACTGCCTCCCCCATGTTAAAGGGAGCCCTGGGTCCTACCATGCCAGCGATTCTGCCCATGTAGGTGATGGAAGGAGAAGGGAAAGGCTGAGCAGATGGGTGTCTGATCTGAGAGAGTTTACAGGCTCATCGAATGGACTCTAAGGACCTTCCTCGCTGTCAGAAACTGAGATGTGCCAAATCAAGACATGAACAATGTGGGGTCACAGCCAAGAAGTAAAAACTCTGAGGATTGAGAATCTTCTGCTGATACAAATACAATCCCAAGGACTCATCGTCAGCCTGTTTTCTGAGTTCACATGGCTTTGTGGCTTCCCAACAGTCCGCAGGATGTGAGTTTAGGATGCAGACTGCCAAGGATCAATTCCTGGAGTAGACAGCTGTCCCCAGGGACCATCACCATCTTCCCCACAGCGTTTCTTTTCTTTCTTTCTTTTTCTTTTTATTTTTTTAACAAGAGAGGCTTTATTCATAAGACTGCCAACTGAGGAGTCTGGAGAACAGGTCTCACATCCTCCTTTCCATAGAGAGAGCTTAGGGATATTTATGGGATGAAGAAGCAGGGGTATCTAAGGCTTGGGGAAGATGATCAGCGGTAGGGAAAAGGGAGGTATTGGATGGTCTCCCACAGCTATTTTTAAACAGAAATGTCAGGCTAAGAACTTCCCTCCAGAAGAGAACATGCCACAGTTCAAAGGGAACATTTTCTCATCTCCAATTTGACATTCTCTTTAGAGCTTCCTCCAGCACAAAACAGGGAACTCAGAAGCAAGAGGCGAAATCTTAAGCTCACAACTTCTTGAAAGGAAAAATAAGGAACTTACAAGAAAGATATTTAGAGAAGTAGCTGAATCTGAGGCTAGTGATAAGAAACTCACATACCCCCAAAAAGAGGGGGGAGTCTACATAACAGAACAGCTATTTAGAGAAACACTGGGGGAATCCCTTCTCAGTCATCTTCTTAAAGAAGTCCTGCAGTTAGAAGTATGTATTGTGAAAAACATAGAAAGAAAAAATATTGTTCAGCATGGAAGGGGAAGAAGTTTCTTTAGATAAAGCTGTGAACAACCACACCTCTGTTGTGGTTTCTATCAAGATGAGCAAAAACAGGAGAAAAGTGCAGCAGCACAGATTGGAGCCTCATACATTGCTGGTGGGATTGTAAAATGATGCAGCCGCTTTGGAAATCAGTTTGACAGTTCCTCAAAATGTTAAACTTAAGAGTCACCAGGTAACCCAGCAATTCTAATCCTAGATACGTAACCAAGAGAGGTAAAAACATATGTCCATGCAAAAACTTGTACTAGAATATTCACAGAAGCATAATTTATAATAACAACCCAAATGTTTGTCAACTGATAAATGAATAAACAAAATGTGGTATATCCATACAGAAAAATACATTATTCAGCCTAAAAAAGAAAGGAGGGCTGGGCGTGGTAGCTCATGCCTGTAATCCCAACACTGGGAGGCCAAGGAGGGAGGATCACTTGAGGCCAGGAGTTTAAGATCTGCCTGAGTAACATAGCGAGACCCCTGTCTCTACAAAAAACACATTTAAAAATTAGCTGGGTGTGGTGGTACACTCTTATAGTCCTAGCTACCCAGGAGGCTGAGGCAGGAGGATCACCTGAGCCCCGAAATTCAAAGTTACAGTGAGCTATTGTACCACTTAGCCTGAGCAATACAATGAGACCCTGTCTCTAAAATTAAAAAAAACCATAAAATTCAGAAAGGGAACACTGACACTTACTACAACATAAATGAACCTTGAAGACATTATGCTAAGTAAAATAAGCCAGACCCAAAAGGACAAAGATTGTATAATTCCATTCATATGAGGTATCTGGATTAGTCCAATTCATAGAGACTCAAAATAGAATGGTGGCTGCCAGGGGCCAGAGGGCGGGGGCAATGGAAATGACTGTTTGGTGTGTTTGGTGGGAAGACAGTTTCACAGAAGGAAAAATGAAAATGTTCTGGAGACGGCTGGTGGCAATGGTTGCACAACAATGTGAATGCACTTAATGCCACTGAACTGGAAAACTAGAAATGGTTAAAATGGTAAATTTTATGTTATGTGTATTTTACCACAACAAAGAAAAAAACACAGTGGAAAAGAGGACGAGAGTACTGTTATATATGCTACAACATGAAAAAACATTGGGGAAAGAAGCCAGGCACAAAGGCTGATAGTGTATGATTTCATTTAAATAAAATGTCCAGGATAGGCAAATCCATAGAGACAGAAAGCAGATTTGTGGCTTCAGGGGTTGGAGGGAGGGGGAAAGGGCAGTGACTGCTAATGGGTGCAGTGTTTCTATTGGAGGTGATGAAAACGTTCTCAATTAAACAGTCGTAATGGATGCATAACTCTGTGACTATACTAAAAAACACTGAGTTGTACACTTTGAAAGGGAGAATTTTCTGGTACATGAATTATATCAGAATAAAGCTATTCTTTTTATCTTTTATTTTATTTATTTATTTTTATTTTTTGAGACAGAGTCTCACTCTGTCGCCCAGGCTGGAGTGCAGGGGCACAATCTCGGCTCACCACAACCTCTACCTCCCAGGTTTAAGCAATTCTCTGCCTCAGCCTCCCAAGTAGCTGGGGCTACAGGCCCTGCCACCATGCTCAGCTAATTTTTTTGTATTTTTAGTACAGAGAGGGTGTCACCATGTTGCCCAGGCAGGTCTCAAACTCCTGACCTCAAGCAATCTGCCTGCCTCTGCCTCCCAAAGTGCTGGGATTACAGGAGTGAGCCACCGTGCCTGGCCAAAGCTATTCTTTTTAAAAAGTTCAGCAGCACAAAAACAAATATGAGTAGTGAGATGGCTCAGGAGACCTACTTCGGGGAACGGCCTCTGGAGGTGGTCCCACTTCAGAAGCTTCAGATAAGCGTAATTCTGGACAGCAACAGGGCTCAGCCTGGGCATGTCCCCAGAGCCAGCAGCTGCTCCCCCAACTGGCAGGGCGTGTTTATACTTTTGAGTCATAAGGTCCTCTGAGGCTTCTTCCAGCCACTGGGTGACAAAGTCCAGGGAATCTGTGAAAAACAAAGTTGCATACATTACCTTGACACCGAGAAGGGATGCTTCTCGGAATTACTTAAGGGACAATCGATGTCCTGGCGGAGTGATAAAGTAGAAAGTATGAACTTCAGAATCAAATAAAACTTGGATCAAATCATAGTAGTGCCAATGACTAACTGAGGGATCTCAGCCAAGTCATAATGTGTCTTGAGTTTCAGATGCCTGATATAGGGAAATTCACAACACCCACCTCACAGGCTGTTGTGAGGATTAAACAAGATAATGAATAAGCCATGCATGGTGGCTCATGCCTGTAATCCCAGCACTTTGGGGGGCTGAGGTGGTTAGACTGCTCGAGCCCAGGAGTTCAAGACCAGCCTAGGCAATGTGGCAAGGCCCTGTCTCTACAAAAGATACAAAAGTTAGCCGGGCGTGGTGGCACGTGCCTGTAGCCCCAGCTATTTGGGAGGCTGAGGCAGGAGAACCACTTGAACCCTGGAGGTTGAAGTTGCAGTGAGTGGTGACATTACACCACTATACTCCAGCCTGGGTGACAGAGCTAGACCCTGTCTAAAGTAATAATAATAACGAATATATGACACCTAGCCAGGCCTTGCCACTCACCCGGTATTTAACAAACCTTCCTTCCTTTCTCTCCCATCCTGACCACTGCATAAGATGGGCCCCAAAGCCCTGGTGACTCCAGCTCTAGAGACGGATGGGATGAGACACCGGCTAGAGTTTCCCTGTGTAAAGTATCCTCTACACTGACGATGAGGCTTTTCCTTGTTTACATCTTAACCTTGTATCAGTCTGGCTTCCTTTCCACCTGGGGGAAGTGAACTCTGTCTCTGTCAGGGAAGCCCCTTCTGGCTTTCAGCAGCCCTCGTGCACCCCTGCTTTTCTAAGCTAAGTAATGCAGCGGGCACTCTGAGGGACAGAGAGCTGGCGGATCTTGCACATCATCTGATAAAAACTGCGCCTGTCAGGTCCCAGGAGGTGCGGCAGCTCTCTCAGTGGAGGCTTCCTGCTTCCTTAAAACCAAGTGGACAGCCACGGTCACAGCGGTGGTCTGCTCTTCACTGGGGCAGGGGGATGTAGCTCCAGTTTGCCCTGAGCTCTTGGTCCTGACTGCTGGGCCATCTGGCTTCACTCTCTCTTCTGCAGACAGCATTCTCTATAACCCCCAAGCTTTGGGAAACCTGGGCTTTCATGAAAGTTGTGAGTTAAGTGCTAGACGCAGGCACTGTAGTTGCTTCCACCCTACCAGTGAGTCCTCCACTGCACCCCAGCTTCCAAGGCCAGACCTTAATATTAAGGCTCTTCAGTCTACAAAACTCTGCCCAGCGGAGGCTGCGGTGAGCAGAGATCGTGCCACTGCACTCCAGCCCGGGTGACAGAGCAAGGAGACTCCATCTCAAAAAATATATACATATATATCTTCCCAGTACTCTCACAACACTGGTGAGAGTGTGAGCTTGTGGTCAATCCATTCTGGTCAAAAATCTCTCAAAACCTGTTTCCAATATCTGTAAAATGGGGTTTTAAAAAAAGGTGCCTGGCTCATCAGCTTACTGTGTGAGGATTACATATGATCATGCACATCCAGCCCTTGGCACAAGCCTGGCACTCAGTAAACATTACCAAACTTCTTCTACTTCTGCCTCTACCCTGCCCTTTCCCAACTTCCCCTGGCCCCAGCACCACCTCAGACTTCTCTGCCTGGGGCTGGATGAATCAACTGCGTGGGGCATTCACTTAACTAATCTGGTCGGGCAACCGAACCAACCCAGAGACTGCTGTTTTCATCTCCTCGTCAGCAAAATTAGAGGCCAAACGGAATTCATCATACATTGAATCTGAAGACTGAAATTTACCCAGAATGTCAGCTAGCAATGCAGAGACCATAAAAAGCACCCTAGAAATACAATACAGTTTTACATTCTGATAGTCGTCTGTTTTCTGCAGTCATCGGAGAGGTTCATAAAAATGAGACTCTTCCTGGGTATGAAACAAGAAGATTTATGCATCCAGAACGAAAGCAAGTTAAATTTCCTGCTATGCCACACAGGGAGAAGAAAAGTAAATTAACATTCACAGGACGTCTGTCATGTTTTCAAAAATCAAGACCAAGAATGTATTTTATTTCAAACTGGTGTTTTCATTAAAAAAAATTTATAATTTAGGACTTCATTGTTTTTAATTTCTATTCTCATAGCCTACTCACATTCCTTTTGCTTGTCACGTTTTCTTTTCAATGCTTAACAACTCTAGATGTAGTCCTAACATTTTGTGCTTTTCCTTCTTCAAATTAGACTATTCTCATGCTAAATTTTAGTTTTGTTCTGAAAATAATATTATGCAACAAGCTGTGGCAGCTAAAATGAAAAACCACAGACAACAAAAAAAGTACCACAAAATGTTAAACATACTTGGTTGCCTCTCCAAAATCTCTTGAAACTTCTTCCTTTCGTATTCAACTGACTGCTGCATGAGATGAGGCCTGATGCTACTGATAGCAAAGTTGGCCATGTCCACTTTCATTAGGTCCAACACAGAAAAAATTTCTCTGAAAGAAAAAAGGATTTAGAACCAAACACTTGTAAAGTAAACATAGTATTAAAGGAAAAGAGGACCAGACGCATGGCTCACGCCTGTAATCCCAACACTTTGGGAGTCCAAGGCGGGAGGACTGCTTGAGCCCAGGAGCTCCAGACCAGCCTGGGCAGCACAGCAAATGTGACAACACGATAAAAACTGATGGATCCACATGAAGGGTCTGTGAGTGTTGATTGTACTGTTTTTGTAACTTTTCTGTAGGTTTGGAATTTTTCAAAAGAAAATGTTGTTTTCTTTTTCAAAAGAAAAAGTTTTTTGTTTTTTTTTCTTAATCCATGAGTACCAAGACTTCAGGAAGTTTAAGTTGAAAATAGCTCTGGTCTGGACACAGTGGCTCACGCCTGTAATCCCAGCACTTTGGGAGGCCAAGGCAGCCAATCACCTGAGGTCAGGAGTTTGAGACCAGCCTGGCCAACATCATGAAACACCATCTCTACCAAAAATTAGCCGGGCATGGTGGTGCGTGCCTGTAATCCCAGCTACTCAGGAGGCTGAGGCATGAGAACTGCTTGAACCCGGAAGGTGGAGGTTGCAGTGAGCCAAGATCACGCCATTGTACTCCAGCCTAGGCAGCAGAGTGAGACTCCATCTCAAAAAAAAAAAAAAAAAGAAAAAGAAAATGCCTCTGAATTGTAGTTGCCAGAGTATGATTAACATATTTCTATACCTGAAAAGAGGCACTATTTCCTTAATGTCCTTTAGTTTCTTAACTTCCTCATCTCGAGCAGGTGCACACAGTGTCCCCATCATGCCAATAATGAATTCTGCCAGTTTGGAAATGTCTAGGGCCCCATTCTCTGCTTCCTGCTTTATCAGATCCAGATCCAAGACTTCTGTTATCTGGTTTCTCAGTCTAGTATGACCAGGCAGCAAGAAAGATAAGAGAGTCTACAAGAGAACACAGCTACGTTTAATCAAAATTCGTTAGACATCATTTCTAATTATATGCAATTTATAACTATCCAAATAAGGGCTTACCAATTGCTATGTAATATTGCACATATTTTACCTCTTATTCAACAAACCTACAGAAAAACATGCTTACAAATCATTTACAATAGCTACTCAAGCTTTCATTTAAGCTCTAGGTAGCAATTAAATGGATAGAAAAAAAACTGTTAATGGTGAAAAAAGAAAAGCATGTTTATTAATGTGAGCCTGTGAGCCAACCACAGATGACAATTTCCATGCGTACATTTCTTCTTTGATGCTATTGCTAAAGGCACTGCAAAAAGTCCCTCCACCTAAAGCTTTCTTAATCCCAAAGGCTGAGTCACTTTTTGGCCATTATAAATGGAATGTGTCCACATCTATTAAAACTTATAAATAATCTAGATTTTGTGAAATAACTTTGTTGTCTTTAATGCCTTCAGGTTATCATGGTTTGCTTAAAACTTTTTTTAAAAAAGGGCATTAAGCCCAAAACACTCTTGATCCACCTTCTGGCAAGTAATCTAACTTCTTGATCCTTCAATTTCTTTAAAGACTTCTGGTGGTGACACAAGAAGTTGAAAACACACTCCTAACACACCAGAAAAGCATCACAATTCACTCTTTGCCTCACCTCTTTGATTTCTCCTACAAGTTTGATAGCATGGTCATATGCTGGGGGGTCTTCACTTAGCTGTGCACTCAAGCAATCCCAAAACGCTTTATGTACAATCTCCTTTACTCTCTTCTTCAAGCTGGGGCAGTGAAACAAACAAACAAACAAACAAACAAAAGGGCAAAAACCAAAATATTTGAGTTTCAAATCACTTTCAAAAGCACAAATAATATGGGTTTAGGGTAAGATCAGTCCCAGTGATTTGGATCAAGGAAAGATTTCCCAGGTATACTTCAACTGATGGCATACTTTATTTTAAAAGTTAGTGATTTTTGGCAATAAGCATCTAATTGGAAAGAATCGCTCTCAACTAACTGGACAGCCAACATTAATCCAAGTAACAGCATATGACAGTGCCATATAATAAGAATATTGAAAAGTCCAAAGCTGTTAATTTTAGTTCCCTGTTACTAGCAAGTTTCTTAAGATGTTTATAATTAGGTAGTCTAAGATAACAATTTAGGCTGGGCGTTGTGACTTACGCCTGTAATCCCAGCACTTTGGGAGGCCGAGGCAGGCAGATCACCTGAGGTGAGGAGTTCGAGATCAGCCTGGCCAGAGGTTGCAGTGAGCCGAGATAGTGCCACTACACTCCAGCCTGGACAACAGAGCGAGACTCTGTCTCAAAAAAATAAAATAATAATAATAAGATAACAATTCAGTATGTAGTAGGTTGAAGGACTTTATTTCCTAAAAATATCATATTCCCATGTTATATATGGGACAATTGCTTAACTAGGTACCAAACTATAACAACTTATATATACATCACAACATTTCATTAAAACCAGTATTGGCCAGGCATAGTGGCCCACGCCTGCAATCCCAGCATTTTGGGAGGCCAAGGCAGGAGGATCACCTGAGGTCAGGAGTTCAAGACCAGCCTGGCCAACATGGTGAAATACTACCTCTACTAAAAATACAAAAATTAGCCAGGCGTGGTGGCGTGTGCTTTATAGTCCCAACTACTCAGGAGGCTGAGGCAGGAGAATTGCTTGAACCTGGGAGGTGGAGGCTGCAGTGAGCTGAGACTGCACCACTGCACTCCAGCCTGGGCAACAGAGCGAGACTCCATCTCAAACAACAACAACAACAACAACAACAACAAAATGTCTTTCTGTCTTGAGCACAAAACAAGCAATTCTTCATTATTAAATGCAAAAAAGTACTATCTTTGCAGATATAAGAAATATCTGTGAAGTCAAATTTAGAAGCTTCCTACGGAAGACACTTGCCAGCACAGCAGCCATTCCTCCTTCTTTTGTGAACAGAATCCCACTGTTTTTCAGGGCAACAATATACTCTGCCTGTGACAATAAATCATGACTGATCTAACAAGCCCATCACAGCAGTTCATTCCCTTTTACCCGACTTAAGCTTTCCAGGTTCACTTATAGCAAGGGTAGCATGTTACTAAATTCTGATTAACAAAGTATCAGCAGATGTCTGTTTCATGACTCCAGGGGAAGATGTTCCTCTCTAACAAAAGGAGAGCCCTAGTACTCCCAACCTTTTCCCTCTTGCCCAGAAGGCTGATGTATGATGGGATGCTTGGAGCTGCAGCATTCATCCTGCAACCAGGAGGACAGGCCAAGAGACTCTCAGGCACCATCCAGAATCCTGACTTCAGTGAGTTGCTGGCAGAAGGGCACTTGCACACATATTTCCTTGATTCTAAAACAAACTCCCCCACCCCCCAATATTTTAATCTCTCAGAAACTTGGATCTTTCTTAAAATCAATGGCATTTTTATAATTATAATGGGCAGTGTTTCCTCTTTCTTATGACAGCACATTTTTAAAAGGGGCACCTTACAATCAATAGAGTTTTTGATTCAATAAAAAAATAGTTAAGTGCCAGGCACTAGGGACACAGCGAATAACCCACAGTCTTTGCCTGTGCAACAAAACCAACGACTATAGTGCAGTGTGATAGTTTCAAAGAAGAGTGAATGAAACAAGGCAATGAAAACACAGGATGAGGCAGCTAGATCCTACTGAGTAGGGAGACTTTCACAAAAGATTTTTAGACCTTTTATTTGATTTTTGAAGAATTGGTGTTCCTTGTTTAGGAATATTTTTTAGCAATAATGTACAAAAGGAAAAATATGTCCGAATATATTGGTATCAACTGAAGGAAACATTTCCAAAACTGGGAAATGGCAGTGCTCTACTAAGCAAGATAATTTAGCAACCACCTTACCTGTTTTCTGGTAATTCAACTGGTTTAATCTGAAAGTCTCCATTTACTACAATTTCATGGGCTAGAGCCATGTTGGTGACGCCTCTCGCTGTCTCTAGAAGTTCTTCTACTGTCACAAAGCGAGGAGGACTAGCTGTAACAGAAACTCACTGTAAGAGATTTGCTTCTCTAGATTCGAATTTCTATTAAAATAAGAAGACAGTGGTTCTGATACTGGACAATAATTTCAGTTATTGCCTCTATTAAAATGTTTGTTCTGGCATTTTCAAACAGCAACAGAATGTTACTTCATATTCATTTTTTAACCCTTGAATCCTAAAAGCAGAGATCATCTATTAATACTCAAAACATCTGCTTTTCACTAAGACTGGTCAAATGAAAATAATTACAGTAAATTGAAACTTAGGAAAACTTAAGTTACAGATGATCATCTGTCCCATAAGCTGAGGGTTTATTTTCTAATCTTTCTGCCTCCTGTCTACCCTAAAAAAAAAAAAAAAAAAAAAAGACACCAGATTTAAGATCTTCTCTTTTGCTCCCATTAGCAGTTTACTTTTGCACTACCACTAACACTGTCACAAATGAATCTCCCCAAATTAACATAGCATCAAGGCATCAAGCATTCACACCTGTAATGCTAGCACTTTGGAAGGCCGAGGCGAAAGGATCATTTGAGGCCAGGAGTTGGAGACCAGCCTGGGCACCATAGTGAGACCTTGTCTCTACAAAAAAAATTTAAAACTAACCAGGCATGGTGGTGCATGCCTGTAGTCCCAGCTACTCAGGAAGTTGAGGCTGGAGGATCACTTGAACCTGCAGTGAGCTATGATCACGTCACTGCACTCAAGCCTGGGCAACAGAGCAAGACTCTGTCTCACAAAAAATAAAAATAAAAAGTTGTAAAAAATTAAAATAGCATCAAGTCCTTTAGGGTGCCGATGGTGCTGTTTAAACAATGCTAAAACCACTATCTTGTACAGGATACTGTGACAGAATATGACAGCTCTGCAGTGGTCAATGGACAGATCAAAAGAGGTGTGACACAAGAATTTTCTAGAATGCTGATCCAGTTAACCAAAAACTTTGAAAAAGAACCATCTCTGATTTCTCTCTTTCCCCTGCTCTTTTATCCAAGTCCTGTAGATTTTACTTCTGTATCGACTGCTGCAACGGCCTCAAAATTTGTGTCCATCTTCTCTCTTTTGATAAAGCTTAAGACTGATCGTTCAGAAAGAAGGTTCTAAACCAAGGAACAAAGGGGAATTCTTACTCTTAAAAGCCTACGATAAGGCCAGGCCCATGCCTATAATCCCAGCACTGTGGGAGGTCGAGGCAGGTGGACCACCTGAGGTCTGGAGTTCGAGACCCAACTGGCCAACATGGTGAAACATCGTCTCTACTAAAAATACAAAAATTAGCGGGGCATGGTGGTGCGCACCTGTAATCCCAGCTCTTTGGGAGGCTGAGGCAAAAGGATCGCTTGAACCTGGGAGGTAGAGGTTGCAATGGGTGGAGATCACACCATTGCACTCCAGCCTAGGTGACAGAGCAAGACTTTGTTTAAAAAAAAAAATTAAAAAAAAAAAAGTCTCTGATAGCAATTCTCAACCTTTAGCCTATACTGGAGTCAGAGGGAGGACTTGTGAAAACAGAATGCTGGGCCCACTTCTCAGGGTTTCTGATTTAGCAGGTCTGGAGCAGGGCCAAAGAATCTGCATTTTTTTATTTTTCTATTTTTTTTGAGATACAGGGTCTTATTCTCTCACCAGCGGGAATGCAGTCACACAATCATGGCTCACCCCAGCCTCAACCTCTCATGCTCAAGCCATCTTCCCACCTCAGCCTCCCAAGTAGCTGGGACTATAGGCACGTCTGGTTATTTTTTGTATTTTTTTTACAAGTTTGTTTTTACTTTACTTGTTTTTTACAAGACAAGTTTCGCCATGTTGCCCAGGCTGGTCTCAAACTCCTGAGCTTAAGTAAGTGATCCACCTGCCTCAGCCTCCCAAAGTGCTGGGATTACAGGTATAAGCCACAACATCCAGCCTAGAATCTGTGTTTCTAACAAGTCTCCAGTTGATGCTGATGGCTCCAAACACCACAGTTTTGAGACACCACAGTTTTGAGAAGTACTTGCCTAGAAGATGAATATATTAATTTTATGTGATAGTGATAACATCTGGCCTTAAAATTAGATAAGTAACGTCACTGGTTTGCCCAGGTTTGTTATAAAAGATCTTCTTAGGCTGGTAAAAAGTTATTTTCCTTCTTTTTTATTTTGCTCATCAAAGAAAGGAAAAAAAAAAAAAAAAGGAACCAAATGAAAGAGCTGGTCATACCCTGTCTGGTAAAAATCTTTATTTGGTCACGAGGGGAAGTTGGGAAAACTCAAAATTCTTCCTCACAACATTCTCAGCATTTCTAGAGAATATGAATAAGAATACAGAATAAATAAATCTGGTTTTGTGGATATTGCTAAAACATAACAAATATTCAAAATCAAAGCCCAATATATCTTTTCAATTTAAAAAATTTTTTTTTAACTTTTAAGTTCAGGGGTACATGTGCAAATTTGTTATACAGGTAATCTCATGTCATGGGGGCTTATATGGAGATTATTTTGTCACCCAGTTATTAAGTCTAGTCCTCATTATTTTTCTTGATCCTCTCCCTTCTCCCACTCTCCAGTAGACACCAGCGTCTGTTGTTCCCCTCTATGTGTAGATTATTAAGATGTCAATTTTCCCCAAATCAATCTATTGGTTAAATGCAATCCCAATCAGAAGGCTTTTTTGTTGAAACTGACAAACTAATTCTAAAATTTATATGGAAGCACAAAAGACCTCGAAAAGCCAAAACTATTTTGAAAAAGAAAAATAAAGTTAGAGGACTGATACTGATTTCAAGACTTATTATAAAACTATAATAATCAAGACAGTGTATTTTTAGCATAAGGATATATAGAAATTCAGGGCAGAATATCCAGAAATAGACTGATATATACACACACATATGTATATATGTGGTCAACAGACAAAGATAGGCTGGGCATGGTGGCTCATGCACTTTGGGAGGCTGAAGCAGGTTGATTGCTTGAGGCCAGGAGCTCAAGACCAGCCTGGACAACATGGTAAAACCCTGTCTCTACTAAAAATCATTTAAGCCCAGGAGACAGAGGTTGCAGTGAGCCAAGATTGTGCCACTGCCCTCCAGTCTGGGTGATAGAGCAATACTGTCTCAAAAAAGCAAGGTGTTTTTTTTTTTTTTTTTTTTTTAATCAAATGGTGCTACAACAATTAAGCATCTATATGTAAAAGAATTACTCTATCACGCCTGTAATCCCAGCACTTTGAGGGGCCGAGGCAGGCAGATCACGAGGTCAGGAGATCGAGACCATCCTGGCTAACATGATGAAACCCTGTCTCTACTACAAATACAAAAAATTAGCCAGGCATGGTGGCGGGCACCTGTAGTCCCAGCTACTCGGGAGGCTGAGGCAGGAGAATGGTGTGAACCCAGGAGGCCAAGCTTGCAGCGAGCTGAGATCACACCACTGCACTCCATCTGGCTTTGTGGATATTGCTAAATATAATAAATATCCAATCAAGACTCCATCTCAAAAAGAAAAAAAAAAAAAATTAATTACTCTAGATCCTTCTCTCACATGGTAAACAAAAAGGAACTCAAAATGGATTGCAGAGCCAGGCAAGGTGACTCATGCCTGTAATCCCAGCCCTTTGGGAGGCCAAGGCGTAAAAACTGCTTGAGGCCAGGAGTTTGAGAACAGCCTGGGCAACATGGTGAAACCCCATCTCTACAAAAAATACAAAAATTAGCCAAGTGTGGTGGCATGCGCCTGTAGTCTCAGCTACTCAGGAGGCTGAGGCGGGAAGACGGCTTAAGCCCAGGAGGCGGCAGCTGCAGTGAGCCATGATCCCGCCGCAGCACTCCAGCTTAGGTGACAGACAGAGATCTTGTCTCAAAAAGAAAAAAAAAAGAATCACAGACAAAAATCTTTGTGATCTTGGATTAGGCAAAGATTTCTTAGATAGGATACAAAAAGCTCAACCTACAAAATAAAAAATGGAAAATTTGGATTTTATCAAAATTTAAAGTGTACACTCCATGACAGACTCTATTAAGAAAATAAAAAGGTTTTTTTTTTGTTGTTTGTTTTTTGAAACAGGGTCTTATTCTGTTGCCCAAACTCGAGAGTGATCATAGCTCACTGTGGCCTCAACCTCCCGAGTAGCTGGGACTATAGGAGCACACATGGCTCAGTAGGGATTTGCTGTATGTATACATATATATAAATATATGCTTATTTTTAAATTATTTCTGTTACCAGTTATCAGAAAATGAAACTTCCACTGTGGGTACGTCAATATCAAGCATCAGGTGTTATTATCAAGCATCAGGTGTTATTAAACTCCACCAAGTTCTTACCCCTTAAGAAGAAACTCAGATTATTATTAGGACTTCCAAGTTTTTAACTTTGCTTTTGCAAAAAATAATCAATGTCTTATCATCTGAAATTTACGAAAATAACAGAAACACATCAAGTCCTCTCGGTGAATTTTTTTTTTTTTTGAGACGGAGTCTTGCTCTGTCACCCAGGCTGGAGTGCAGTGGCACGATCTCGGCTCACTGCAACCTCTGCCTTCCAGGTTCAAGTGACTCTCCTGCCTCAGCCTCCCAAGTAGCTGGGACTACAGGTGCATGCCACCACACCCAGCTAATTTTTGTATTTTTAGTAGAGACGGGGTTTCACCACATTGGCCAGTATGGTCTCAATCTCTTGACCTTGTGATCCACCTGCCTTGGCCTCCCAAAGTGCTGCGATTACAGGCATGAGCCACCGTGCCTGGCCGGATTAGTTATTTCCCAATAATTTTAGTCATCTGGGTAATAATAGGCACCATTGCTTTGCTGCCTAGTCATGAAACACAGTGGTTGGGGCAAATCAGTAAGAAATTTCTCTTCCTCTAGACTCTGTTGAGTATGACCTTGAACAAGTCACTTAAATCTTGCAGGGTCTGTGTTTCTCCATATGCAAAAAGAAGAGACTTAAGGGTGTGCTATGAAATATAAGAATCCTCCAAATTTTAAACAAGTGCATTCTCAGTGTTTTGGGCATACTTGGAACAAAACAGCTTGCACCAAGTACTAAGAACCTCACCATCCAGGAAGAAGAAAATTTTCAGGAACTGTCCATGTTAGAGACTACTTAAAATCAAACTTATCAATGACAGGTATCTGACCATGAAAGATGAAAGCTACAGTTCTAAGATATGATCAGGACATATTACCCATGTACATATAGAGGAATTATTCATTGCATACAAATTACAGGGTTGTGGGGATTTTGTTTTGTGAGAGTTCTCAAATTTACCAATTTCATAAATGAAAACTTGGTAAAGATTGCATAAAATTGCATAAAGATGCAATTTGGTGGACAACACGTCTTCACCTCAATTTGTGAAGAGAACCTGAGTTGTAATAAGAGCCATGAAAAAATGGTAAAGTCAACTCAGACATGGTGGTGCACACTTGTAGTCTCAGCTACTAGGGAGGCTGAGGTGGGTGAATCACTTGAGCCCAGGAGTTCAAGGCCAGCCTGGGCAACATAGAGCAATCTGGTCAAAAAAAAAAAAAAAAAAAAAGAAAAAAAAAGGTAAAGTTACATGTAACTTAACTGGGAGTTTATTTTACATGACACAAAGCTAAAGTTGTTGCTAAATTCTGTTATTTTCTTACAGCATTTGCCCACTGATGCCCTGTTAGAGAAACTGAAAACCATGTTAGTTTAAACATGACTTTTGAGAGGCCGGCAGACAGATTCCAAAATAAAATGATGTTCTAATTTAGAATGGTTGCAACTCTCTTTCTTTACAAAGGTATCCTGAGATGTCTCTACACTCTGAAAAGATGCTGTTAGTCACATAAGTGGATGGACATTTATGGAGGGCAAGATGGCAACTGTCATTCAAACAGCTACTATAGAATGAGTACAGTAAAGCCAGGGTAAAGGTTACCCATACTTACTATGTTGATGGAAACTGCTTGTTAATTTGTCTTCCTCGCTAGCCTGCAAGCACCATGAGGACAGACAATATGCACCTGGTTCACTGCTGGATCCCTGACATACAGTATGCACTCAACAAATATTTGACTGATTGAATATGGAGACACCATAATTCAAAGGCTAGTCATGAGCTTTAGAAATGTAAGTTCTCATGTCACCTATTCATCTAAAGATGACTGGGATCTACTAATTAAATTCACAAGGACCCGATTTCATAAACGAAGGTCCTAAGTGGGAGATATTAACTAGAATAACAATTGATGTTTGTCATCTGAACATAGCATCTTTTACTGGTCAACTAGGTGATTAAACGTTAGAACAGAGGGTATTTTGTGAGAAGAGCATTAAAGTATAAATAGTAGAAGATCTTAGAGAAAACATTGTTAAGTTACAGTTGACTGATCCTTACTGTTTAAAGGATCTCTGTTTAAAGAACAGATAATCTTTTACAATCAAATCACCACCTCAAATCAGTACCAATCAATTTTTTACAAGGCAGCCATTTTTCCTTTTTCAATGTTCTGCATCAGTTACATCAGCAATTCCACTCTTTTTTTTTTTTTTTTTTTGAGATAAAGTTTCCCTCTCGTCACCCAGGCTGGAATGCAATGGCACAATCTCAGTTCACAGCAACCTCTGCTTCCCAGGTTCAAGCAATTCTCCTGCCTCAGCCTACCAAGTAGCTGGGATTACAGGCACGCACCACCACTCCCGGCTAATTTTTGTATTTTTAGTAGAAACAGGGTTTCGCCATGTTGGCCAGGCTGGTCTTGAACTCCTGACCTCAGGTGATTCACCCGTCTCAGCCTCCCAAAGTGCTTATAGACGTGAGCCACCGTGCCTGGCCTAGCAACTCCACTCTTAAAGTACTACTCTGTGTTATAATTTAAAACAATAAATGTTCTCTTTTTGCTACTTACATTTTAATTTGTAGAATTCCAAATGTGATTTTAGAGTTAAACTCAGTAACTACACATTTACAGAGTTTGGGGGAAATGTCTGCAAACTATTAATTCCACAGTTTGTAAATCCTTATTTATGCTCTATGTGTTCAATAATGCTTCCTTACCTGATCCCCAAATAATGGGGTCTTAGCTTTATCTTTTGGGTTTATAGCCCTGTACCTACCTAGTACTATAGGAGAAATAGGAAGTCAGACAAAAGGAATATCTTAGGGCATTGATTTTAAACCTTATTTTGGTACAGACCACTAAGAGAACTTAATGAAAGCTTCCATGACCTTATTTCTAAAAACATGCATATAAAAACAAATGTTGATGTACTTTTTTGGCTATTACTAGATCCCCAAAATCTTGATCATAGGTCCCAGGATGAGTTATTCTTGCCTTAAGGGCATAACTACACACAATTTCAGATAATGTAGCTTAGTACTGGTTTGACATTAATTTGGAATCATGCCATCAGACTGACAGGATGCCAAAGGTGAAGCCATCAACCAAGGAATGGCTGAACCTATAAAAGTTAAAATTGTTTTAAAAAATTAAAACCAATCAACCAACTGTTGGGAGAAACTGAGGCAGGGCTTGCATGTCTGACATAATGTAAAAGAGTCTTGGAACATGTCTGGGTTCCAGGGTCTAAAACCCCTCGTGGCCTGGGGAACACCAAGCTCTGTGCTAAAGGGTGGAAGGCTGCCCTGCTGCACCATAATCTAAGCCCAGGGCATAAAAACCCTCGTGGCTTGAATGGAATCCAGGGCTCAGGGCACAAAACCCCCTCGTGGCCTCTGAAATGTGTCTAGACTTGCTGGCTCCTTGCTTCTAGCACTCCTAGGCTCATATATTGATTGTATCTTAAACTAGAAGAACATGTTTCCCATTATCTCAAGTAGCGGAACATGTTCCATACGCTTCAAAGAAAATGCCAAACTGTCACAGCTGTAGATCATGCGCTTGATACACTGCTTTCTTTCAACCCCCACATCCTCACCACCCGCTTCTTTGTTTGATTACCAATAGTGTGGGCTTCTAGAGCTTGGGGCCTTAGCAGCCTCCATACTAGCATCAGCCCCCTACACCCACTTTATGCACTCTTAAACTTGTCTTTTCTCATTCCTTTGATTCCACTGGACTTTGTCACCCCCACGTTAGGTCCGGCCGTCCCAACAACCAACAAACCAATAGTGACTGAAGACCTAACCCAAAAGTTCTTTAGCAGAAACTATAGGTTGTAAAGCTATCACGTTAGCCATATACATCTACATTACAGCAATCAATCCTGGTCTCTTTATTTTTTTTATTTTTATTTTTTTGAGAGAGGTTTGTCTTACTCTCTCATCCAGGCTGGAGTGCGGTGACATGATCATGGCTCACTGCAGCCTTGACCTCCCCAGCTCAAGTGATCCTCCTGTCCCAGCTTCCCAAGTAGCTGCGACTACAGCCACGTACCCCTATGCTCAGCTAATTTTTTTTTTTTTTTTTTTTAAGACAAGGTCTCACTTTGTCACCCAGACTGGAGTGCAGTGTGGCACAATCTCAGCTCACTGCAGCCTCCACCTCCCAGGTTCAAGGGATCCTCCTGCCTCAGCCCCACAAGTAGCTGGGACTATAGGCATGTGCCGCCATGCCTAGCTAATTTTTATTTTTTGTAGAGATGAGGTCTCATTATGTTGCCCAGGCTGGTCTTGAACTCCTGGACTCAAGTGATCCTCCTGCCTCAGCCTCCCAAAGTGCTAGTATTGCAGGTATGAGCCACTATGCCTGGCTAATCCTGGCATCTTTAAATGCAATAGATGACATGTTAGTAGCAATAATAGTAACAATAACTAATGTTTATTAAGCATTTATTACCTGCAAAGCACTGTTCTAACTGCCTTACAGGAATTCATTTAATCTTTACCGCTACCCTAAGAAATATTGTATTTTCCTCATTTTAAAGACAGGAAAACAGAAGTTTTCTGACTACACATATTGGAGACGGGCCTACCAAATGCACGATAGACTGTGCTAGTAACAACATGTTTCCTTGGACGCAATTTGACCTCATAGTTGATTTATTAAAATCTATGTGATAATAAATCAGAATAAAATAGGGTCCATTAATGTTTGCTAGAAGAATACCATGTTGACTAATAAATTGCCTGAGAAGGGCTTTGATCATTTTAGAAGAAACACACCCCAAAACCCAAAAATGTCTGTACTTTTCCCAAATATGTACAACTACTGATCATCTACAATTTAAAGGGATAACATCAATACCGACATTGCTAGACTATGACGTTCCCTCTTAAAAACTTGCGTTTTTGGACTCACTTCAAAATGCTTAAGGTACTCTTCATAAAAGACGTGAGTTGAGGCAACCACTGGGAATGCCTGAAGATATTGCCACCCTTTCATTTAAGAGGCTTGCTCCTTGCCAGGGATCTGAAATGACTTCACCACACACATTCCGCAAACTGAATTCCCTCAAGCTTGTGGGAACTAAGCCTTCAGGCAGAGAATTAGGGTGTGGTGAACTTACTTACATTTTTTTTTAACCTGCACAAGCACAGTTCTGGCAGGAATTAGCCTCAGACTTTTCAAACACCCTTTCAATAAAAGCTGCAATTTGTACTCCACCCTCCTATTTCTTAGAGCACTTCAGAGACTGGAGTGTCACTGAGGCTGGAGAAAGACAGGCACATACTGGACATTATTCTAAAATGTTAATTTCCCATGCAATTGAAAATCCACAAGTAGCTAGGCTGCCAGCTGAGGAACTGCTATGATTCCTAAATGCTACATTGGCAATGTTATATTATGAGAACCTAGCTCACGGCCACATGCACAAGGAGGCCTCATAAAACTGTCACCTGAAAACAATGACAATATTGCATCTAATCAAAGTCAAATTTGCTTACAGTGAGGTCTTTGCACTCTTTGGGGGCTGGAGGAGTCTGACTTTATTGCTTTCTGTAAGGCTTCATCAGCACCTTCCACAGCATCTTCGAGGCCTTGCTCAGAATCATTGGATTTTGATTTTCCTGCTTCATTTACATTGGACTTGTCAAGGTTTTCAGACATTCTCAATTAAGTTTATCCACTTTCCTAGGAAAGAAAAACACAAAAAAAGAACTAAAAGTATTCTAGCTCTGTCACCAACTAGCAATGTGACTCAGGGCAAATCATTTAATCTCTTTGGGTTTCAGTTTTCTTGTTTGTAGAATAAATGAGCTTGCTAAGATCTTATCCAGCTATAATACTCCACTTCAATGACTAAACAGATACTTGTAAAATGACATTTGTAATTTATCAGATTTCTGGATCTCAGGTAGCAGTTAGTTGGAATATTTTTGGCCTACTCCTGAGTAGCATGTTACAGGAATACAGGGCCTTAAACTATTAGAAGACACACTTTAAACTGCCTGATGCTACTATTTTAATCAGTGATTCAATCTTAAATTCTTTACTTTCATTCCTAAGAGCAGATTGGTAAACTCTTTGGAAATAATGCTTTTAATCGGGCTTACAAGTGAATACACTGGGCTAAAGGGTTGATTCCTTGATATTATCATGTGAATAAGATACCTAGAGATGATAGAAACTATAATTTTATTTTATTTTATTTTTCTTTTTTTGAGATGGAGTTTTGCTCTCATTGCCCAGGCTGAAGTGCAACTGAGCAATCTCGGCTCACTGCAACCTCCACCTGTTGGGTTTAAGCAATTCTCCTGCCTCAGCCTCCCAAGTAGCTGAGATTACTGGTGTGTGTCACCATGCCCAGCTAATTTTTTGTTTTGTTTTGTTTTGCACTCCAGCCTGGGTGACAGAGCAAGACTCCATCTCAAAAAAAAAAAAAAAAAAAAAAAAAGGCCTGTTTTAATTACAGTAAAAGTGTTAGTCAATTCCTCCCCTCTCCCTTTTCCTAGGGTGTTTCTGGGAGAGAAGAAAGACACAATGTTTCTGCATTTGCTGAAAATAATCAACATTTGTAACATCAGCACTTGAAGATCACAAAACATTTTCATAAGCACTAAGAAAGTCAATTAGACTTTCTTACACACAGGGAACACAATCAAGTGATCAAAAGAAATGTCAACTGATTTAGGGAGTTTGGCAGACTGTGTTCTGCGTATTAGAGAGGTGAAGAATCACCTAATAGAATTATGTGAAATTTCAGAGAACTCCATTAAACAGAATGAAGTTACTGGAATTGAAATATTCAGGCCTGCTTTTTTTTTTTTTTTTTTTTTTTTGGAGACAGACTTTTGCACTGTTGCCCAGATTGAAGTGCAGTGGCGCCATCTCGACTCAGCTCACTGCAACCTCTGCCTCCTGGGTTCAAGGGATTCTTCTGCCTCAGCCTCCCCAGTAGCTGGGATTACAGGAACCCACCAAACGCCTTGCTAATTTTTGTATTTTTAGTAGAGATGGGGTTTCACTATGTTGGCCAGGCTCGTGTCTAACTCCTAACCTCTAGTGATCCACCTGCCTCAACCTCCCAAAATGCTGGGATTATAGGCATGAGCCACTGTGCCTGACCCAGGCCTGTATTAATATGAAGGTTGTTTTCATGTATTTCCCCTTTCTAGTCTCATTTTAGCTTCCAACACCCCACTGGAGATACCCATCTCCTCTGTATCCTAAATCCTATTAGGGTCAGGAAATGCTCCAAGATCCAAAGCATAACATTACCAGCATATTCTATGAGAAAGGACAAACAAAACCCTTCTAATTTTATCCTCTTCACATGCTGAGAAGGAGCCCAGGAGGGATGAAGTAATTCATTCTGCGCGGTGAGGAGGAAAGGCAGGATTTCTAGGTCTCTAATCAGCTTAGTAAACTAACCCCATCCTTTTATGATTGAGTCCAGGTCCTATCTCTTCCCAGGACACTTTCAGGACCTCACCAGTGATTGCACCTTTCTCAACTCCTGCAGGGCTGGCTAGTCGACATTTAGCATTTGTCACTGCCTTAAATTCAATTCAAAGTGTGCTTATTTAAATAGAAAGATGCAAATACATAGTCTAGAGCGGGAGGCAGACAGGCTTACAAGGAGCCATAATGAAACTTAAGCCTTAGTGGCATTATGAAATTGCCCAGGGAATATAGCAGAGGAAGAAACTAACTCCGCCTGGAAGGAGATTGAGAAAACCTTCCCAGAAAAGATGACATTTACACTGATCTTTAAAAGGAGTAGGATTTCACCTAGTTAAAACATGTCTGGAGGGGGAGAGGAGGTGAAAAGAAGGGCATTTCACTCAGAGGACAGAAGCCAAGGCACAAGAAAATGAGAAAAGGAAGTGGCTAGTGATAATGGAAAGATGCGTTGGGGCCAGATGGTAAAAGTGCTAGTTTTTATTTTAAAATTCTCCGCCTAGATTTCGAACTTCTTACGAGCCAGGAAAAGTCATATTCCCCACTTATGCTCCATCCGTATATCCCCCAAATAGACACCCACAAGTATCTGTTGGTAGAGATGAATCCCTACGTCATCTCTGTGACGTCATTGTATGTGGGAGGGGTGGGCGTTGGTTTCAGACATACCTGGGCCCCAATTCTGGCTCTTTACTAGCTGTGTAACTTCAGTTTCCTCCTCTGTAAAATACAGCTACCTACCTGCTTGGTTTGAGGGGGAGATGAAACGAGGGATCGTGCACGGCAGAGGCTGGCACACTGCAGGCCTTCTACAAATGGTAACTCTAATTAAAGGGCTCTAGGATGTGGCCAGGAACCATTTAATTTGCTTATATCGCGCGCATCCATTCAACCCCCACTGTGTCTAAAAAGAGAGCCGAGGGGAGGAGGATCCTCGCACTTGCCAAGAAGACGGTCATCCGTCGGGGCTGCACGCGGGCCTAGGCTGGACACAAGAGGCTCCCCAGCAGAAAGGGTCTTTCAGCAAAAGAAAGGGGCTCTGTCCCCGGCGCCGGGAATCACCTCCTCTGGCACTGAGCTCCACTCGCGCCCGGCGTCCAGATTCCGTTGTAAACAGCTGTTCGGGCCAGCGAGGGAGTGGCAGGGCCGGGAGCAGGGAGGACGCGGGCGCGCCGAGAGGGCGGCCTTGAGGGGTGAGCCCCACCCGCCCGCAGACCCCGCCTCTTCCTCGCCTGCCCCCGACATCCCGGGACGGGATCCGACGGGAAGAGACAAAGAGATGCCTGCGACTTGGACCGCGCGCCTCCCGGGCGGGCCCCGCCAGCCTCCGCCCCAGCTCCCGCTCTCCTCACCTGCCGCGGAGTCGGCGTTCTTCCTCCTGCCGCTCCCGCCGCGCGAATCAGGCGCGGGCTGGCGCCGCGGCGGAAGCCGGAGGGATGCGCGGCAGGCTGGGGCGGTTCAGCCTCTGCTCCTCCGAGGCCGCATCCCTCGCCACGCGGCGGGCGGTCCTCCCAGCCCGACTCGGGTGGGCAGCGGTCAGAGCGGCCGCTTCTCAGCATCAGGAAGGAGGAGACTGCTCTTGGCCGGGAGGCGCCAATATAGGGCAGCGCCATGTCTTCGTACGGAAAGGCAGGCGGTTCTTTCCCCTGCTTCCCGAAGGGGTTCAGTAAGCGGTGACTCGCAGCTGGGCGGCGCCATGTTTCCTCAGGGAGCGGTGGAAAGCGTGGCCGATGACCGCTGAGGGGGCTCCGTGGGCAGTGGCTCCGAGCCAAGAGTGGCCCGTTCAACGCAGCGAGGCGCCATTTTTCCGTACGGAAACGTAAGAGGAGCGGCCGAGTGCCCGCCTATGAGTCTCAGCGGGCTGTGGCTCGAAGCTGGGGATAGCCCGCCCCACGCAGGGAGGCGCCATGTTTCTATACGGAAAGGCGGAGGGCGCGGCCACATCCCAGTCGCTGGGGTGGGTGACGGGAGGAGAAAGGGAGGCGGAGAAGGCGCGGGTCAGTCAAAAGAAGAAATAAGAAGCAACTGCATCGGAAACCTTCCCCGTCCGTTCTTTGAAATTTAATTATGGCATCCTCTTTGTAGCTACACGAAGTTTATTCCCTTTCTCTCATTTTGGCTGTTTTTAAAAAAGTTGGGCCGGGCGCAGCGGCTCACGCCTGTAAGCCCAGCACTTTGAGAGGACGAAGCGGGCAGATCATGAGGTCAAGAAATCGAGACCATCCTGGCCAACATGGTGAAACCCTGTCTCTACCAAAAATACGAAAATTAGCTGGGCGTGGTGGCGCGCACTTGTAGTCCCAGCTATTCGGGAGGCTGAGGCAGGAGAATCGCTTGAATCCAGGAGGCGGAGGATACAGTGAGCTGAGATCGCGCCACTGCCCTCCATCCTGGAGACAGAGACTCCGTCTCAAAAAAAAAAAAACAACAACAAAGCAGATGGAGTGAAATTGCTGTTTTCAAACACTGCTAAATAGATCACATGTGGGTAGTTATTGCTAACGTATTGAAGGCCGAGTGCAATACCAGACCCTCAAACCATTTACTGACTTGCATATTAAAGTCTTTTTGCTTTATAAAAGAAAAAGACAAAAACAGTTCTCAGGTGAAGATTCCCTTTTTTGGAGGAAAAAACACCAAAAACCCTTAAGATACTCAACTAAATGGAACTGTTAAGACCTGTAAAGAAAACATGCAGTTCTTCTGAGTCTAGACTCATACCATAGAGTCTCCAGTGTTTTTCAGCCGTGAGTACAACTTGCAATCTCAGGGGCAGGGGTTGGAAAACTATTATCCAAAACTCTGGGGGGTGATGCCAGACAAGTTTTAAAAGCTGCTCTGGGAAAGCAGGCTAGAACCACCTCCCTTACCTTCCTTAAAAGATTAATATGGCCGGGCTTAATGGCTCACGCCTGTAATCCTGACACTTAGGGAGGTCGAGGCGGGCGGATCACCTGAGGTCAGGGGTTCAAGACCAGCCTGGCCAACATGGCGAAACCCCGTCTGTACTAAAAATACAAAAATTAGCTGGGCATGGTGGCAGGCACCTGTAATCCCAGCTCCTGGGGAGGCTGAGGCAGGAGAATCACTTGAACCCGGAGGTGGAGGTTGCAGTGAGCAGAGATTGCACCCCTGCACTCCAGCCTGGGTAACAGAGTGAGACTACATTTCA